GGATGAATTTTGGTCTATGATTTCTAACTCTAAAGTTGTTCCCCAAAACCAGAAAAGGCCAGTCCTGGGAGAGTAACTCGCCCTACCTTGTTTTACACAGCAGGGTCAAGGTTATAGTTTGGAACTAGAGGAACTGTGGCGCCATGGACTCTGATCCAGGGTGGCTGTGACGGTTAACTGCTGCTGTTCTCTGCACGTACGAAGAGCCCCAGGAGGCCAGCAGGTGGTCTGGTGGCTGAGGCACTGGACTCCCACAGCCAGCCGCAGTCTGAGTCCTCGAACCGGCAGCATTTAGGCCCATGTACTTGTGTGCCCCAAATCCCAAGAGAATGGGGGAGAAGGGATTGTGACATGGCCATCCCCGTGGGGGTGCTTTCTCATTTTCCCTTTCTCTGTTTTTCTCTGGCAAACACACAAGCCCTGTGGCAAAAATAAATAAATAAATAATACATCTTAGAAGCTCAGTGGCTCACAATGGCAGGCACTGATACTCGCTCATAGAGCTGAGGGTTAGCCCAGGATCAGCCGAGCTGGTCTGGGCTCAGCTCTAAGCTGTAGCCACGGGACTCTGGTCTTCCTGGGACCACGGGCTGATTGGAACATTCCGCCAGAGGGACAGCAGAGCAGAAGAGAGCCCAAGCACACACGCACATCTGAAGCCTTTGCTCAGGTGGGCTCTGCCGACATTCTAGTCAAAGCAAGTCACATGGCCCAGCAGACACCCTGGTCAGGGAATATGTCCCCCTGTCCTAGCAGAACCACGAGGTCACATGGCAAAACACACTTCCAGGGAGAAGGGCAGCCTTGGGGCCGAGAATGCAGTCTGCCGGTTCAGCGAGCACTGGCACGCCCGGACATGCAGCCGTCTGCCTCGGGAGTCCTCAAAGCCCAGCTAGCCCTTACAGTGATGCCGTGAGAACCAGCAGATGGTGTGGGGCTGTGGGGCTGGACTCCCACATGGCCGACCGCTGGCAAGTAACAGACCCGGCAGCTTGAAAACCTCACTGGGCACAGGTGCGCGTGTGCCCAAAATCCCGGGAGAAGGATGGAGGAGACGGGATTGCAGTGTGGCCACCCCCTTGGGAGCAGTTTCTCATTTCCCCTCTCACTGTCTCTCACTGTCTCACTGTTTCTCTCCAGTGAGTGTGGACTCCCACATGGCCGACCGCTGGCAAGTAACAGACCCGGCAGCTTGAAAACCTCACTGGGCACAGGTGCGCGTGTGCCCAAAATCCCGGGAGAAGGATGGAGGAGACGGGATTGCAGTGTGGCCACCCCCTTGGGAGCAGTTTCTCATTTCCCCTCTCACTGTCTCTCACTGTCTCACTGTTTCTCTCCAGTGAGTGTGTGCATCCTATGGCAAAAAAAAAAAAAAAAAGTTTAAAAAGGGTATTACTTTGGGCCCGGCTGCAGCGGCAGGCAACACTAAGATGTACTTGCGGGCTGTGACCACACGGGAGGCCTGGGCTGATTCTCTGCTCCATCCACCTTGCAGCCCAGGCACAGTAGCATGCACCTGCAGCCAGAGACCGGAAGAGGTCAGGGCAGGAGGATCACCCGCTCAGACTGGCCTGGGTGACATAGCGAGACCCTGCATGAAGGAGCCAGGTGTGGGACACACCCACGGTCACAGCCGGGAGACTGAGGAGAGAGGGTCACGACATGGCAAGCCTCTGTCGTAAAAAGGGGGGAGGGGATAGCAATTGGCATGGTGCTTCTGACAGCTGGGTCCCATGTGGCCACTGCATGGTTCAGTCCCAAATCTGGTGGCTTGAGAAGCACGCTGGGGCATGTGCACATGCTTCTCCAAATTCCAGAGAGGAGGATGTCGGAGAAGAGATTGCGGCATGGCTGCTGCCCCGGGGATGATTTTCCACTTTCTCTGTGTCTCTCTCTGGCGAGCACATGCACCCTATAGCAAACTATTAAAGAAGGAAGAGAGGAAAGATGACTGTGCTAAATATACGTAACACAGAGTTAGCTACTCTAGCCATTTTTAAAGTTCATTTCTTTTTTTTCAGAGACTTTTTTGCTACAGAGCACATGTGCTGTCTGGAGAGACAGAGAGACAGAAAGCGAGAAATCACCCCTTGGGGGGATGGCCATGCCACAATCCCTTCTCCTCTATTCTCTTGGGATTTTGGGCACGCACACACACGTGCTCGGCATGAGTTTTAAGCTGCCAGTCGAGGACTCGAATTGCGGTCTACTATGTGGGAGTCCAGTGATGTAACCATTACACCACTCGCTGGTCCCCAAAGTTTATTTCTTAGAGAGAGAGAGGCACCCCTACGGGGTCTTTGCATACCATTCATTCTCGGCTTCACCACCCTTGGCACAAACAGGGGCCTCTAGGACACCCCCGTGGAGGCTCCTCCACCACCCGGCCCCTGTCCTGGCTGTTCTTCTTTTCCCTGCTGGGTGTCTGTAACATACATTTGCAGTAGGGCTTTCAAGATATAGGGATTTTAAATTTTTTTAATTTATTATTATTACTTAATTTTGTTAGGAGGCACAAGTGCTCACCAGAGAAAGACAGACAGAAAGAGAGAGGGAAATGAGAAAGTTAGCCACCAGGTCTAGAACTTGAACCAAGATCAGCCATGTAGGAGTCCAGTGCCCTAACCACCATGCCAACTGCTGGCCCCAGTAAGGGATTTTTATAGCATTTATATTTTAAGGATTTAGAGAAAATACATTTTTTTTACTTGATAAGAAGTAAATTTGTACTTAAAAGATACCAAAACATATCAACTGAGTAATTTTTTTACATAAAAAATTATCTAAAAAAACATTCTGCTTCCACTGGAGTCAAAACTGAGCAAAGTGTGAGTTAAATAGAGAGCAGGGTCTTCGGGGCCTGTTGTGGGCACCACGGGCCATCCCGCTCCAAGGAAGGCCTTACCTAGGACCTGGTCGGCTATGGGCCTTCCTACATGATCAGTCCCAGAAGCCCTGGTCTACACCTCAGGATTGTAAGTCAGGGGCTCCCTCCTGGAAAAGACACCTGACTGACTTGTCAGGATGTAACAGACTTGTCTGAGACGCTCGTTCGAACACATAGGTAATTCGTAAGAAGTGTGTAAAGGACAGTGACAAAGCCGCCCTAGGTAAATCGTGCAAGCTGGAATGACCGGCTTTTGGGCCTGTGGCTGAGTTAGAAAACTGTAAGAGCGAGAGTAAAAACGGCAGTGAACTGACGCGCAAGGGGACGAGTGCCAGTAACGGTGCCATTCCCACAGCCTGCGCCGGGACGGGGCCTGAGCTCAGCGGCTCCGACCTGGGCTGCCCACGCGGAATGAGCGCTCCCGGGGCTGAGCGGGCCGGAAGCGCAGAGTGCAGCCGCGGTGAGCCCGCCCTGGCTGGAGCCTGACGCCTGGCGGGCAGACTCGAGGAAGAGAAATCTCCTGTCACCTCTTGATCACGTCGTCTGCCACAGGGGCCGCCCCCCCACCCCCGTTAGTGCACGTGCCGTCGGGGCCGCCTACTCCGGTGTTTCCGTGGCATTTCATGCTCTCGCAGTACCGGCGCCCATCCACAGAGCTAACCCATTTCCCGAATTGAAGCCCTCACCCAGGAACACAGTCCCCTTCTGCTGCCCCCGACCACCAGCAGCCCCTTCTACTTTCCGCCTCCAGGAATGCGGCTGCTCTGGCAGCCTGGTGTCCTCCCTGGTGCTCTTTCGCGGCGCTGGCAGAGCGTCCTTCCTTCTTAGGGCCGAGCAGTGCCAGGGTGTCTAGACCACGTTTCGCTTACCCCTTGGGGCATGAGCGCCTGGGCTGCTCTGCTTTGGCAGCTGCGGACACGCCCCTGCGGACACGCCCCTGCGGACTCGCCGCTGCAACACCCGGCAAGTATCCTCATACTCTGTCCTTGCTTCTTTCAGTTGAGTGTGGACCCAGAAGCAGGTTGCGCCGCCACATGATAACTGCATGTGTGATTTCCGGGGATCTGCCACTCGGGTTCCAGAGAAGAACCCAGGGATCTCGAGGGCTTCACAGCCAGGACAGCTGTCCCTGGATTCCCACAGGGCAGGGAAGAGGGGTGGACCTCAGCTCCGGGGGCCTCCCTGGTCTGTGACCCAGTAGTCTGAGGACCAGCGGGCATGGGCTTGGTGTCAGGCAGAACCCAATGTAAATCAAGTCCCTGCCACTTGGGGACAGGAGGCCTCAGGGTGTGTCCATCGGGGAGACTTCAAGGAGATGGGGGCAGCCTTCCTGCCGAGCACAGGGCACTGCGAATGAAGGGTGTTTTCTAAGGGTAGGAGGAGCCCTGGGGACAGCAGCGTCTGGCAAGAGAGACGAGAAGGCTAGTGAAAATGGCCACACTGCTTTGGAAAGACGGGCTCTGGACATGGCCCTGGCTCCAAACCTCAGCCCTGCTCCTTTCTGGCCCAGCGACTGGCTCAAGGCCCTGCTTCTTCCCCTGTGGACCTGGGCGGGGGGGCAGCGTGGGGTGGACATGGGCAACCTTTGTCTTCCTGTGGACCTGTACCTCCCGCAGTATCAGGTGCTGCCAGCAGGGGGCGCGGCCCACCCGCTGCACGGGCTAACAACAAAGCTGGTCCCCACAGCCAAGAGAGAGGCTGAAGGCAGCTTTGAAGCCAGGTGCCCCTCTATCCACAGGTGTCCCACCAGAGCTCCTGGACACAGCAGGCCACCGGGCTGCTAACCTGTGTGCTGAGCAGGACCAGGCCCCAGGCACAGCATGGAGGGGGTGTGTCACTCCCCAGGATATCTCACAGGGACATCGGCAGCACCAGCCTGCACTGCGGGCTCTGATGGTAGTAAGACCGGTGTCCTGTGCTGACATCTGCTAACTCCTCCCTGCAGCCCCGGGAGGCAGGCAGGACCATCCTCACCCCGTCTTACACAGGCAGAAGCTGAGGCACAGAGAGGCTTAGGAACTTGCCAGAGGTCACACAGCTAGAAAGTGGTAGCACTGGGACCTGAGCCCAGGAGATATGGCAACAACCACACTCTTACCCTGATGCCTTGTACCTGGTAGGAGCTGCCCAGCTTCCTGCCAAGGTGGGGTGAAGGTCAAGGAGGAATTATCCAGATGAAGAGAGGGAGGAGTTCCAGCAGAGAGAGCTGCATGACCCGAGGTCCAGAGGCATGAGAGCGTGGGCAGGGGGCAGGTCATTC